TTTAACAATTCAAAGGAGGAGCCACAGCTCAAAATTTGAGCTCCTCCTGTTGTCACGGGGATAATAATAGTAACTAATACTCATTGACTTGTTCTGTCTATTTTATGTATAGTTATATATATATTAATTGTAACAGTGTTTTGAAGTAAGCACTCTTAATGGTCTCCATTTCACATATTATGAAACCAAAGACCTGCCTGGAATCACTAGCTAGTAAATGGAAAAGCCAAAATTCAAACCCAGAAAGACTAATCTAGATCCATTGTTCCAACCAGCATAGAATCTGACCACTAGCGTCACATTGGCACTGGGATCAAAGAGATAAAATATATAATACACACAGATGTTCACACGGTGTTAGTTATAAGAACAAAGAAACTATACATGATCCCTTTTCAAATAGAACATTATGTAACCATTAGAAAAAAAGATTCTGTAGCAAGATAAAGGGCTACAATGTAAATGATAAAAGAAAAGCCCCATCACTGCAAAAATGAAAAATAAATATAGACTTAGAAAAGTAGTAAATATAGAATATTGAAATATTTATGTTGGAGTGATGGGAAAATATTGTGTTTTCGGTTTCTCTTTAACCTGACTTGAGTGTTGTTTACCCATTATTTTACTGACATGGAAAGCTGAATGGGATATGGAACCACTGTAAGGGTCAGGAAAGGAGAGACAGACCCTAACAGAGCGCGTGTGGGAGGGTATGCATCTGCAGAGAGAAGCCAGAGTTGTGCCCCGTGGTAGACAGGACCACAAGGTTTGGTTATAAACAAAGAAGGGACTGAAACAGGAAACCATGTTGTGCACACACAAAAAGGTTAGTATTTATTGGATTCTTAGATCAAAATTTTTAAGAGTCTTGTATAGTTTTTTGCATGTTGTTAGTTAAGTAGCTGACACGATCATTAAGAAAGCTGATGACAGTTACTGTGAAGTCGCTCAGTCATGTCTGACTCTGTGCGACCCTATGGACTGTAGCCCATAGGATTCTCCAGGCAAGAATAATGGGATGGGTTGCCATTCCCTTCTCCAGAGGATCTTCCCAACCCTGGAGAAACCTGGATCAAACCCAGGTCTCCCACATTTCAGGCAGATTCTTTACCATCTGAGCCACCAGGGAAGCCCCTATAGTTGCTGAATGGGCTACTTTTCCAAAACTGATAGAAAAGCTTCTATCAAAGGCAGTTTATACCTTACAGACTGTTATTTGGGATAAAATGCTGCATAGCTAGAAAAAAAATGGGAGCTGGGGGGTAGTCGTTTCTCCAGCTGTTGCAATATGGTGAGGACAAACTCCACTTTGTTAGAAACAGAAGAGAACTTGGAGTCCTCTGAGCAGTTGGATTAGATAAGTGAGGAGGATGTCTGGGAGGTCTGATCATGTGCTACAGTGCTTAATCAAAGCAGGCATTCTAGAAATGATGTTGAGTGTAGGTGTCCAGGAAAGACAGTTGAGCCTAAATAAATTGCTGCAGAGTCTGAACTTCAGAATATGGGTAAGGACACAACTTGGTGGAGGTGTGCAGGAAGCCATCATGGGCATCCCCCTGTGGCTCACAGCTCCTTAGGAGGGACTGTTGATGCCAGAGATTAGGCACCTGGTGAAAATTTCAACTGCGAAACAGACCAGAGAACATAATAATAGAGGCAGGAAGTGGTTAGAATTGTATGTTGCCTCACACAGAATACTAGGGCATTCCTCTTTCCCTGAAGCAAAGACCCAACAACTGTCTAAAAACGGTGTCATTTCTACTGGGTTATGCTGCTGCTGCTGCTGCTAAGTCGCTTCAGTGGTGTCCGACTCTGTGCGACCCCATAGATGGCAGCCCACCAGGCTTCCCTGTCCCTGGGATTTTCCAGCCAAGAACACTGGAGCGGGTTGCCATTTCCTTCTCCAATGCATGCAAGTGAAAAGTGAAAGCAAAGTCACTCAGTCGTGTCCAACTCTTCTCAACCCCATGGACTGCAGCCCACCAGGCTCCTCCGTCCATGGGAGTCTCCAGGCAAGAGTACTGGAGTGGGTTGCCATTGCCTTCTCTGACTGGGTTATAGTTCTTTGAAATAAGAAATTTGTTTTCCTAAGATATGGGACACCTGCCAATAGACACACTGTTCTAACGACTTACCTTTTTGGTTTTAGAGGAAGGAAAATATCTTAATGACAGTGCAGAATCATGTAGCAAATTGTAATTCACTTTGAAAGATTCAACTACATTCTGTTCCATTTGTTTCATTTTAAATGATATATTTGCAAACATGTCATTGCTCACTTGATGTTTACCTCCTCATTACACGTCTTAAGCAGGCTTGATTGTTGCCTGAAATTGCTTTTTCGTTGACAGAGCATAGTCAAGATGAATGAAAATGTGTTGGGAGCACCTTCCCACAGATAGGGAAGGCCTGTTTGGCCTCTCAGCAAAGGCACAGCCGTGGCGCTCTCCGAGGATGGCTCCCCGGCCGCCTCCATTCACACCTGCCTGCCTGGGCAGCCCTGGGGAACTTCCAGAATGAGTCTGACCTGGTCGCCTTCTTTCTCTGCTAATGGAGGAAAAATGGTGCATTTGCGTTGTTCCCTTTCAAGTGAACTTTTTTTTAATTTGACTTTCCGTCTTGGAGCTGGTCTTTATAATGCCTCTAGATAAAAGCACTTCCCCAAAGTGAAGCCCCGCAAAGTGCCAGCACCATGGAGTTTACTCTCTCTTGCTCTGCAAGGTTATGGGGAGACAGAATCTAAAACCCTCAGATGTCATTGGAGGAAACAGTTGTTACTCTAAGGACCTTTCCAGATCAGTGGAGAGCGAGCTCTTGTTTCTCTCTTAAATTCTCAGTGTATCCTCAGAAGTCAAGGATGAGGCATCGCTGGCCTCGACTGGCTCTCTCCACTTCTGCTTGAGTGCCGTCTTTTCTCAGCCCCATTTCCATCTGATTCTGAAGGGCTAGTTGCAGGATTAAAAGCATTGTCAGTGATTAGAAAGCTCTCTGGTTTCACTGCATCCATTCACTTTACCTTCAGTGATTGTTGGCGGAGGTGGAAATTTCCAAAAGTCAGTAGCTATTTTTTTGTTGTTTGAAGAGACAAGAGAATGTGGTTTAGGAATGTAGGATTTGGCCCCTGTCCATCTTCCATCACACCCAGCTTGCCTTAAATGGAAGAATGGAAGTTCCTCGCTCAGGAAATCAGCGGGTGGGGGAGGTAAGGGAGTCAGAAGGGAGACTCAGGGCCCCTCTTGAGTGGTGGGGCACACGTGTCTCCCCAGACACAGGACGGTTCTGCTCTCACCTCCAGACGCGTGTAGAGTGCAGCTGCCATTCAGACCTGAGCTCACGTGCCAGCCCGTCCCTCTGGAGCAGCTCAGCCGGGGACAGGGGAAAGGAGTGCCGGGGGACAGCCTGCAGGAGGGCTGGCAGCGGGGTTTTGGCTACGTTTTGTTTTTTTGGCAGAGCAGTATTGAGAGACACTATTGCTTCCATACCCTGTCATTAGTGGGTGGGTAATAGTGATATAAAATAAGAGATGAATTAGGATAATAAGAGGCAAAGGAGAAAGGAGTAAATTTTCCACAAGTAATATTTTTCTCTTCATGGTTATTTAACTTCGAAACAGAACTTGAAAGTAGTAATCACCATTCCACGGGAGACAAAGGACTGAACATAAGAGCCAGACAGGAAGGTGTGCTTATCTTTATTACGTTAACTAGAAACATACTGAAACATGCACAACTTTTAGGAAGACACTGCTGTTTCCATTATAGAAAAAACATTTTTAAAAAGAAGTTATGGGTGGCCTACTGTGTTGTTGCTTTTTTTTGCTTTTCTTTTCTTTTTTTGGCTAATGAAGACGTAATCCTGGTGAGAAAAGTCTGTGCATCTTAGGCCCCTTTTGCTTTTCTTTGACAGTTTTTTGCGATCATTTTATGAGGCGGATATATTGTAAAGCAACTCCAAGTGGGATGATTAAAGGCCAAAAAAAAAACCTTTGCTGTTTCCCTGCTATAGCCCCCAAATAAATAAGACCTGTTTGTATTAATTCGTTGATTCACCCAAGATGGAATAAGTGCCTGCAGCATGCCAGACACTTAGGCACTAGAGGTAACAGGGATGAAGACAAGTCACTGGGAGATAGACACCAGAGAGATCCCCACAGTCACAAAGTATTACAGATGCTCCAAATGAAAATGCGGTGTGGCGGGGGCGGGGCAGGTTGGCGTGCGAATTGAGAGCACAGCATTGACATATATGCACGCCCATGTGTAAAATAGATAGCTGGTGGGAAGCTGCCATATAGCACGCAGCTCAGCTCAGCGCTCTGTGATGACCTCAAGGGCAGGAAGGGGAGGGTGGGAGGAAGACTTAAGAGGGAAGGGATGTATGTGTACCTGTGGCTGATTCATGTTGTTGTAACACAGACAGTAACACAACATTGTAAAGCAATTACACTCCGATTTTTTTAAAATTAAAGTTTTTAAATCGTATGAATGAATAGTAAGCTCCTATTTTAAAAAAAAAAATACAGTGTGAGCAGTATACAGGGGAACTTGTTTTCTCCTGGAAGAAGTGAAGACCTCTCTGAGGAATTATAATGGAAAATTATGGGAGCATTTTTAAGTAGAGGAGGAGGGGAGGGTGACAATCCTAGCTACCTTTGAAGATTTACAGAGATGGAGTTGAAGAGGGCCCAGAATGAAGAGAAGAGTACCCACACCTAAAGAAATACACGAGTGAATCAAAAACTGCCTTTGTCTCTTTGAAATAGCTCTTTAAATGTTTTATTACACTCCAGTTTGAACAAAATAACTAACATTTTGTGTACTGTATTTCTCACCAGTGGATCCTCTTCTAAGGGTCTGAATAAACTTTTGCCTTGAAGTATTCTCTCAGTTCCCTTCGAGCACCAACACTGCTCCTATTTTTTAAAAAAGAATTCAGTTACATTTTGTCTCTCGTAGATACATACAATTCTGGTTTCCTGTTATTTTTCCCTGTTTATTCAGCTCCTACAGAACCATTATTGTGTAAATTTGCGGATGGTGGACAGAAGAAGAGACAGAACCCAAACAAATACATCCCAAATGGACGACCCTGGCACAGAGAAGGAGAGGTGAGACTTGTAAGTCCTTTCTTGAAACTTCTGTGGGACTGTGTGATCACAAAAAACACGAGAGCAGTTACACGTGCAGCATCTTCACATGGTTCTCACATTTCTAAAATAGGGGCTAGGGTTAAAACTTCATTATCCAGATAGTGTCACATGAGGACTTCTCATGGACAGACCATAGGTAATGTAAACAGCCATGTTTACCAGTTAGCAACATTTTTCCCCCCCCCCAAAAAAAGCATTTTAAATTGCTGTAAGAAATGTACAAGTGGTCTTTAATGTTATGGTTCCTTAGAATTACAGTTTTAATTATTTAGAAATTTATTTTAAATATTATTAAAATAAATAGTATATTTGTCATTCAGGTTTTTTTTACCTAATTCATTTCAATAACGTTCTTCAGAAAAAGAAAAAGAGCTCAATTTCTTAATAAAAATGTTGGCCCTCCATTCCCCCATACTAACCATAAATAAATTGTTCTTTCTTTCTTTTTTTTTTTTTTTTAAAGTAACATATTGGTTCAAGAAGTATAAGGAGGTGCCATTCAGTAGAAATGTCCTACAGTCTGTACTGTCCAGAGATTACCACTAGTCACTTGTAACACATTTGAAATGTAGCTAGTTTGGTAGAGGGACTCAGCTTTTCATTTAATTTTAAATAGCTATCTTTGACTGAGGGCTGCTATGTTGTACAGTGCCAATCTAGAGCTTAATTCTCATGTTGAATTTATAATTATGTGTGTCTAACATAAACTCTCAATTTTATCAAATGCTAAACTATTCCCATTTTTTGTTGCCATGAGTCTGAGAAATGGAATTTTTAATTTGTACCTTTGCAGATGAATGTTTCTTTTTCTTTCCCATAGGCTGGAATGACACTTACTTATGACCCAACCACAGCTGCTATACAGAATGGGTATGTCATTAAGCTAAATACATAATGGCTAGAGGGAAAATGTGAAGGTGGAAAATATCAGACGTTTATTCCATGAATGATTGTGCTTAAAGGATTACTTAATAAAGGCTTTTGTGTTTGTTCTAGATTTTATCCTTCACCATACAGTATTGCTACAAACCGAATGATTACTCAAACTTCTATTACACCCTATATTGCATCTCCTGTATCTGCCTACCAGGTTTGTACCTTTAGGATTCATCACGAGTATGACAGCTTGCCAGCCATGAATCACTGCTGTGTTTTTATGTATCTGAAAATTTTGAACATTTATAATGAAATTTTAAGTCAAATGTTAGGCAGCTTGGATACCCAGTTTAGAATTAGCTGCTTTTTATTTGACAGAGTGATTTAGTTTTGTGTTTAGGAGAATGTGCAACAAAGGGAAATGGTTGTCAGTTGTCAGTTTTTGAAGTCACAGCATTTTAGAATTGGGACAAACTCAGATGCTTCCTTTATAACAGGCCCTGCCGCTGGACACCATGTGTCCCAGACATTGAAACTGGAAGAGAATTGCCATTAGGTCAAATACAGAATAGATCTGCACTGTTGCCTTTGTTAATTTGTCAGCAGAAACTAACAAAACAGCAAGTAAATATGCTAATAAATGAAGATGTGTCTCTATTAGGTAACGTGAAATGAGCAATGCAGTGAGACTTGAGGCCAAAAAATTGGGAGGTGGCTTCCCATTTAGGATATTTTTTGAAAAGGCTTTACCTTACACTCCCAACTTAGAACCAAGATCTCCTTCAGCACCTTGTGGTTATATTGACGTGGTTTTATTGGAGGGGTAGCTCCTATTCTCCATGAATCCTGAGTGTACCTGTATTTCTCCCTCTCATATCAGAGTGTCTCTCACAAGGTCACCACCTTGGCCCAGACAGGAACACCAATGGAGTCAATTACAGACATAGGAATACACTTTTGTTAACTGTTGAGATCCTGTGTGACTAAACTTTTGTGAATTCTTGTCTTTAAAACAATTGAATTAGAAATTGTAACCCTGTGGTAGTAGGGGATAATATCTAATAACTGTGTAATTTCACATCTATAAGCCTCAGTTTCCTCATCTTTAAAATGGGGATAATAATAGCTTCTATCTCATAGGCTTATGATAACAACTAAAGGAGATTATCTGTGTAAAGAGCTCAACCCAGTACCTGGCATATGATTAGTACTCAATAAATGTTAGCTATGATTATTATTGTCCTTTATACTTTACATCCAGGATTAACTGGCTGATAAGAGTACATCCATTCTGCTTTCTTAAAATAATGGATTGGTCAACATAAGCAATATAGCAAAGGTGGTTCTGTCTAAAAGCATAAAAGTAGTTCTGAATAACAAAGAGAAGTGTTTAAATGCACTAAAACTGAAGTTGTAAAGTAGCATTCACAGCCTCCCTCAGCTTCTAGATTCTTCTCACTTCCTTTCTCTGAGCCATCACTCGTTGTCTTTTATCTCTTTGGGTTGTTAAGTTTCTTATGCTGCTACTTGGATCTGCTCATCTGCTTGGTGTCGCACTCACTCATTTAATCCCTCTCTAATGATTTGGAGCTTAAGATTTGTTTATTTTCCTTGCCTATCTGAGATTCACTGAGATCTGCTGCAGTGCATTTTCCCTAATTAACAATTCCTCTATCTGATTTTAAGGGATAGTCTTCTTTCTTAACTATTTGAACTTTGCAACCTCTAATAGGGACAAGTAAGCATATTCTCAGGCAAATGAAAGATTGTGCATATTAATTTCAGTGTATGCACTGTACAGCTATGAATGTATCTCCTCACAACCTCTTTTTCTGTCTTTACTATAATGGCAATGAGCATTTTGGCCACAGAATTATTTCATAGAGTAGAAGAAAATTAGGAGACCAGTGTTGTTAATAGGCTTGATAGACCTAACTGAAAACAGCATTTCATTACAAAGGCCTGATTTCTTTTCCTGGGCAATCTGTTTCCCTAAGATACGTGTGGATTTTCGTTCCAATTGCCTGGCCCTCATGGCATTACTTGTTAGATCCTCAACCCCATAAGTTCAGGGGCCCAGTGAGGTGAGAAAATGGGCTTTAAGTGATCTGTGATTCTCTTAAATGCAAAGTGTCAGTGGTATGTGGTATGCATACCAGTGTATGTCACTGGTATGCAGTCAGGTGCAGAGGGAAAGGTTCATTTCCTTCATCAGGTTTTCAAAAGGATTCATGATTCAAAAGAGAATAAAGAACCAATAAAGAGTTCATATAACATAGATTATTATTCCCATTTTATAGTTAGGGAAAATTGAGGAAAAGAATTTGATGGCAGCAGATTTGTTGCTTCAGAAAGAAAATTGGATTAGATGTCATGGCTCCCTAACCCCATGATGATACGAGCTATTAGATTATCAGGACCACAGAAATATACCACGGATGAGTGCATCTGGCCCAAATTGGGGTCTGCAGGGAGCTGCTCGCCTCCCCGTGATGTTTTCAGTGAAGGCCTGGTGCTCGTGTTGGAGCGGGCCTTTCACCACTAAACTACTACATGCTTATATTAATACAATTGGATTTGAGAAATTGGCATCTGCAAGAAACCACCAATATCCCGATGGGGAAAGGCTGCAGTCCAGATAACTGAAATGCTAACGAGGCAGAAGCACTTAACTTTGGTCTGCCTTAGGTGGCAAAGGAAACCAGAGAAAACAAGTATCGGGGCCCTGCTATCAAGGTAAATCACAACCCGTTCTTCCCCATGTCCTCTCTGTAGAACCTCTCAATTAACAGTAGGGGATGAGATAACAGGAGGGTTTTGTTCTCAGGAATTAAGAGACAAGCTTATCCTGAAATCTCATCTCAGGAAAGCTTTGGGTATCAAGAAATGGGTCGATAGTCTTTTCTCTAGAGTGGCAGAAACAACCTTGCTTTCTTCTCTGCCACAGAATCTGACTCTCAAATCATTTCTCAGTCCAGAGGGTCTACTGTATAGATGTCCTTTTAACTGTAGATGTCAGGATCTAGTTACTAAAGTTTAATTTCCTAAATATGAATTTCAGATTTTTATATTTCACACTAACTAGAAATGATTGACTACTAGACAAGATTTCTGAAACAATGTCCTGGGTATCAAAAGGGAATTGAATTTGATTACTCTTTAAATAAGCACATACTTTAAGGGTTAGATTCTAGTAAGATGTGCTGGAATGAATTCTCATTCCTCTGTATTCCTAAAGCACCTATGTTCCTACCTTGATTGTAACACTTTTCACTGTTTCTTTGAGTTGTTTACTTGTTTATCTCCCTTGCTTAGATAAGTAAATTTCTTAAGGGTGGGGCCCATGTCTTACTGCCTTTTTACCTCTTTGGTGCTTGATACTCAATAAATACTTTTTCAGTGGGCAGATGGAACTTGGTTTTGAATAATCATTTCATCCTATTCAGAGTGACCAATTTGTCAAGAATTCTAACTGCTTTAAATTAAATCCTTTTAATCAGTTGATAGTATTGTTTCTTTATTTTCCTCCTGTAGATTTTAACGTGATTAAAAAAGCTCTAGAGAAATAAGTAGTGCTCCTATGGAAATCAATGTTTCTTCCAAAATCCTTCCTTTTCCAGGTGCAAAGTCCTTCCTGGATGCAACCTCAACCATATATCCTACAGCACCCCGTAAGTTTTTCATCTTAATGGCTTTGTAGTTTTCAAGTAAACTATGTGTAAGTTAAAAAACCATTCTCTGGGTTTAAACCATTTACGCAAAGGTGGTGTAGGATTTGGGAAATGGTAAATATGGGATTTTGAGAATGTATAAGTTCATTATAAAACTTTGACTCACCTTGTCTTAAAACAAATTGGTATTTGACATTAAGTTAGATTTGCAGTCCACGAGAATTTAAATGTAGGAGATCATTTCACTGAATTTTTAAATTTCAAAGTTTTTAAATTACTAAATTTTTAACCATACTTGTGATGAAATAGCTCTCTTTGTCTACATTCTGTTTAATGCAAATATAAAGTGTTTAGAATTGACCTAGAGATTTTTCATCAGTGTTAACCTCTCCATGGAAATTTTAAATACTAAAGTAGTAACACCTACTGAGGGTAAATAACAAATGTGATTTCTTTAGTGACAGGAGCATGTACTGTACTTATATATATATTACATTTTTTAAATTGAATGAATTATACTTTACCTTATTAGGTAGTATATTGAATGTATTTTTCAAAAATACATAAAATCCAGTTTGTTGAATTAAAACATGAGTTTAGAATGTTGAAAAATAAAGGTAGAAAACAAAAATCACAAAAAAGACTAAAGATGCCTGATAGAATAATCTGGATGCTCACCACAAAGCAGCCACAGAATGAGCCTCAGCTTTCTGATAACCAGGGCAAAATGGGGCTCTTAATAAGCAATGTAGCTCACAGTGCTTATAAAACAGATCAGTCGCGTAGGAAGAAGCACATTGTTCACGGCCTTAAAATGAGACAGGAATTTCTTTAGGACAACTTCCGAAAGAGGACACGACGCAGTGTTAGACCAGGCATGTGAAACAGCACAAGAGGGACACATTCTGAACAGGAAGTTGCTGAGATGACTTTGAAGAAGGAGAAAAAGCATGTTTAGTTGATAACACAGGAGAGGAACTCTGTGATGATGTATCTATATGTGTTATATTGTCTGTATAAACATGCACACATATATTTCTACACACCCACACATGTATCTACCCACATCCACCCACTAAGCCACACAAATGCCTGTGGCAGTCTACATCCCAGGTACTCTGTGCTGACCTATTCAGGAATGCTAGAAATCAGCTCATCTTTCATTTGGGGGCTTTCTAGGACAATAGCTCCTACAGATGAATGAAGAAGAGCAGCAGGAAACGCCTGCATTTTCTAGACTTCTGAGTCATTTACATGTTACCACTCACTTTTGAATGATGCACATTAAAAAATTTTAAAGGGAAAAAATTCTTAAGAAATATATTAATAACAAGTGATCTCTGACATGGGCTTCCCTGGTAGCTCAGCTGGTAAAGAGTCAGCCTACAATGCAGGAGATGCTGGCTTGATTCCTTGGTTGGGAGGATCCTCTGGAGAAGGGATAGGCTACCTACTCCAGTATTCTTGGGCTCCCCTGGTGGCTCAGTTGGTAAAGAATCCACCAGCAATGCGGGAGCCCTGGGTTCGATCCCTGAGTTGGGAGATCTCCTGGAGAAGGGAAAGGCTACCCACTCCAGTTTTCTGGCCTGGAGAACTCCATGGACTTAGTAGTCCTTGGGGTCACAAAGAGTCAGACACGACTGAGTGACTTTCACACAACTACTGTCTCTGACATGAATCTGCATCCTTTGGCAATCTTCTCTGGAGGGAGGAGGGCTTACCTATTAAGAGACAGGCAGCACATCTCTTAGTTGAACACCATTGAGACAGCAGTAGTGTGTGCAGAAGGACCTACCTGAGAAGTCATTCCTTTTCCCCACCCAGATTTTCACTGCCTGAGACTAGCACTAAAATTCCTGCACATCAGCTTTTACCCTCAATTGTGTATGTATCAATAAATAACTGTTTTTAAGGGATGATGAGTCAGTCACAGTGATACCAAAAACCTAACATTAATAATTGTATGATGTATCAGAGTAATTGCATCCTCAGGTAATTGGGTGATTGCAGAAGTGAGAGGAATGCGATAATCTAAGAATATTACAATAGGATAAATTAGAGAAGATGCAAAAATCCAGAAATAGAACTAATTGAATTTCATATACAATCAGGGTGCCATTAAGTAATCATTAAAAATGATAATGAGAGCAAGGCAGTAAGTTAGGTAAATATTGATAATGGAATGTTAAGTTAAAAAGCAAAACCCAGGATATGAAGTAGTTTCGTATTTCATATGAACCTGGTTGCAACTCTGTAAATTAAGTGGAAGCCAGAATCCATGCAGTGCTACCCAGACACTGCTAACTGCCATGTATTAGAGACAGGCTGGGTTATATGAGTGATTTTTTTTCACCCCTCCTCTGTGTTTTTAACTATATTTAATTTAATTTTTATTTTTTTATTTATTTTTAATTGGAAAGTAATTGCTTTACAGCTATGTTTAATTTTGTTTTTGAAGACCAGAATTTTTTCCAGTGAAGTCAAAGATTCTGAAATTAGATTATTAATTATATCTAAATCTGCTTCCCTCCCCTGGCACCAAATTACAGTTGCAAATGCTGAGAAACAGTGAATGAATGAAGACTGTGATCTTGACCCTGACAGCCTGACCTTGAATCAAATGACTGTTTTTTTTTAACATTTTTAAACAAGATGCTGTATTTATAATAGGCAGTATAGTACATTGTGTTGTGACTGCATAAAACATAAACTGTCATTTACTTTAAAACTGAATTAGGCGTTTCGTAACCCTGGCCAGCCGAAAGTAGTTTGTGTTTCCTGTCACAGCACATAGTCCTCCCGGGGACTAGCTTGCTTTACAGTTAAGTGAAGAGAAAGGGAGAGGTATTTAATAGAGAGGGATTTCTATGAAGTGAGTGCTCTTTAGAAAAGTCTCAGGGAGACTTCCCTGGTGGTCCAGTGGCTGAGACTCCATGCTCCCAATGCAGGGGACCTGGGTTTGATCCCTGGTCAGGGAGCTAGATCTCACATGCAGCTAAACAAAGATTCTACAAGTCTCAGAAAGCACAATCTAGACGATTTTTTAAGAAATCGCTTATGACACAGTTTACAAGTTTGAAGGGAGGTTACTTTTGCTTCATGTTCTGCAGCAGGCTAAGCCATTTCCTATGGAAAAGGTGGTTCCAGAATTCCGCTCCTCCCTCATGTGTCTCACTTGCTCTGTCTGACTCCCCAGGGTGCCGTGTTAACTCCCTCCATGGAGCACACCATGTCACTACAGCCCGCGTCTATGATCAGCCCTCTGGCCCAGCAAATGAGTCATCTGTCACTTGGCAGCACCGGAACAGTAGGTGGCAAATTAATATCATGTGTCTCAGCTTACAGAGGAGGCTAAATTTGTGCAGCCTGGTTTTCCTTATCAGTTATAGGCTCTATAATGTCAGAGATTATATCTGATCCTCTCACACCTTCCACATAGTAAATACTCAGAGATTTCTTGATTAATTGATGAACTGAAAGTCTGTCCTCTGGCTATCTGTCTCTCTTGTATCAGAGTATAGCATCCATACAAGACCACTTGTAGCCCTAATAACTGGTATCATTCATTCACACTGGCATACCTCATCTCATGAAGCCAAAGATGAAGGTGATACATGGTAATAAAGGCAGGGGATTTTTCCTCACTTGTTTCCACTTGTATGGGTTTTAGGGGCGCTGAATCACAATCGTAGTATTGACGTATTTTCACCAATCCAGGGTTGCATTTGGGTATGGAGTTGAGCTGATATCAGATTAATTTCCAGGGTTGATAATGTGTAGCATTTAGATGGTAAGATGACCAAAGGCTTTTAATTGAGACCATATCTGTGGTGACTTAACAGAACAAAGGGTAGTATTTTCTTTGCTTACGTTCACAGCCAATAGCAGCAGCTCCTCAGGTCTAAACCAGGGCCACATACATCCAATGAGAAATCTCTCCTGCCTTTGGAGAAGGATAATTTTCAGCATCAGGAAAGCACGGGTCCGTTTTCCGTTTTTTCCCCATTTTTCAGTGACCTGCTGAAGATCTAAGGCATTTACTTCTTGGGTCTCCACTTACGGGAACAATTCTAATTCAGGCAGCTGCTGGAAATGAATGAGGTTCTTTGAGGCAGAGATCTTCTAGATTAAAATAGCACATTAGTGATATTCAATTATTGAGGATGAGAAGCTGTAATGATCTTCACCCATGGCTTGTCATTGGCCACCCTGACCATATTCTTCTTTTCAGTACATGCCTGCCACATCAGCTATGCAAGGGGCCTACTTGCCACAGTACACCCATGTGCAGACGGCGGCAGTTCCTGTGGAGGTTGGTACACACCATCCAGTGGCCATTATGGATGGCAATGAGTAGTTTCAGAAGTGGGTAAATCAGAACTCAAGGAAGAATCAAATCAAAATTGAAACATGTGCATACAGAACTGAGTTTAGAGGGAGTGTATGCTTTAGAGTTGTTTTCAACTATGAAATATAATTCTCTGCATACAGATTAGCATAGCAATATCCAGGCCACACCCCCAGGGCTCCCTGAAATATTTTAATATTTTCTAAGCTTGTAGCACATTTCATTACCCCCTCAAGTCTCTATCCTGTCTCCTATAAAATGATACTTCCAGGCAAATTAAGATAAAGCTGGAGTTTGCAGTCCTGGTACCAAAGATTATATCAATAATAACAATTATAAAAATCTGTTATAATTAAATACCTGGAAAAAATATTTCAGAATTTAACAGGGATAAAGAACAAACCATACCTGTTTTTGTAGAAGACTTAATAGAGCTAAATAACTCATAATACTTGTTACAGAAGATATTGGTATGATATTAATATGGAAGAAATTTGACATTTGAATTCAAGTTGGGCAGAAAGTATAGTGTTTTCCTGCAGAGTATCCTTGAAATTCTAAGGAAATTCATCAACCCAGTCGATCCCATCAGCTAGTCACATCCCATAGGTTCCAATTCCAAAAACAGCCCTAGGACAACAGGGGAGGTAGGATTTTTTGTTTTGTTTTGTTTGCCTCTAAATGATTTAAATTTGTGCAGTTATTGGCAACCACAGTTACTGGGACCCACAATCCTTATCTGCAGTGCTGAAACAAACAAATCTTAAGAATTTTCTTTGTAACTACTTCAGCAAAAACCTGACCTGTGGCAGAAGCCCAGCTGGACAAGACAAGACCTTTGCCCCATTTACACTGTATATTCATACTTTTCAGCACACACTGTTAATGTGTTTGATCATAAGGTACAGTTTGAGACCCCACTAAGTATCATTGGTGATACACAGCATATGCATACTATATTTCAGATTGTAAAATCTGAAATTACTGAGGTCCAAGTCACATCTGGCCCCAAAGGATAAGAGATTTGTTTAATAAATTGTAGTTTGATGTGAAGAGACAACCTCATACAAGTTGGAAGAGGTTCTTTGGGTCTATCAGACATTTAAACTCCTTAGGGAAGTAATTAACCTTGAAGGCTCTATATGACATTAAGAAAATCAGTTGTAAGCAGTGCTTGTCTTTATGATGTGGGACTCAGTCCAATCTGGGTAGTAGAGTTTGGATTTCTTTGCTCACATGTCTCATCTGTTCTGCTTTGTTGTAGGAGGCGAGTGGTCAGCAGCAGGTGACTGTGGAGACGTCTAATGACCATTCTCCATATACCTTTCAACCCAATAAGTAACTGTGAGGTATGAGGGAACGATCTCCATCACTGTAGGGCTCAAGTCAAGGAAAGGCTGTGATGATTTTATCAGAATGGTACTTAGAACAACTCAGGTCTGGTCACGCTGCTTCAGTCATGGCAAGGGAATCCAGTGTTACTGAAATCTTAAAATTAGTGATTTTGTGGTCTTGTAAATTAAGTATTCTGTCCAAAAAGAACAATGCCTTATATTGAAGTCAAATGTATGTTTGCTCTCTCTCCCTCCCTATCTGCCCCCAAAATCAGTAACATAATCAGAGAATACCAGGTACCAAAATTGTCCTACATTTATATAGATAGATAGATAGATAGATATGTGTGAGAGAGTATATACATATATATATCTCCTATATTTATATTATTTTAATGCTCACAGACTGAAGGGAAAACAATGTAAGATTTTGCTTAGTCTAGTGTTACAAGATTAGCATTATCTTGACAGAATCAAATGTGAGTATCCTTAGATTGATAGATTGCTTTCCCCACTCTCACTTGAACCACATATCTCAAAACTTGTCACTCTGCCATGCAGATTACATAGAACAACTGTGTGGAACATAGAACACTTGGGTTTCTAGATTGCCCCGGTGAAGTATGTTTCAGGCCTCAGATTTGAAAGGTGGACTCAGGACATAGAAAGTGACCCTCAGTTCCAGAATTTGCATTTACTGACCTACCGCCAGTGATGAGCAGATCCTTTCTCAAACATTTATGTTTTTAAAACAAGAAAGAGGTGACAAAGCTCTAGGGGCTGTCACACCAAATGGTACAAGAGCAATTGTTTTTTCTATTTTTCTCTTCCAGATGTACAGAAGGGTGTTCTTACATGAAGAAGGTTGTGAAGGCTGAACAATCATGGATTTTTCTGATCAATTGTGCTTTAGGAAATTATTGACAGTTTTGCACAGGTTCTTGAAAACGTTATTTATAATGAAATCAACTAAAACTATTTTTGCTATAAGTTCTATAAGGTGCATAAAACCCTTAAATTCATCTAGTAGCTGTTCCCCTGAACAGGTTTATTTTAGTAAAAAACAAAAAACAAAAAAAATAAGCAAAAAAAAAAAAAAAAAGATTTTTATCAAATGTTATGATGCAAAAAAAAGAAAAAAAAAAGAAAAAAGGGAAAAAAAAAAGAAAACTTCAATTCTCTGGGTATGCACAAAGACCATGAAACTTACTCAAGTGCATGACCGGATTCTTGTGGTTTTGTTCATTTTGTGTTTCGTTTGTGTTTTTTTCCGCTGTATGAAATGGGCTTTCTGACGTTTAAATAGTCCGACTTCACCCCTGGTGTTCTGTGCTTGCAGTGAGAGTGTTACCGCCAGTGTCTCTTTTCTTAGCTTTCCGTTTTCCTTCCCACGTCGTGTGAAGTGTCTTATCCTTTTCTATGAATTCCAATTTGCCTTAACTCTTTTGATGCTGTAGCTGTTTCAGTAAAAGTTAGTTCAAACTAATGATGTAGAATGCTTTGACCAAATGGGCTGGTCTATTATGCCTTGTAAAACAGCAGCATAGGGCTTTTAAAAGGTAGTCAATAAAAGTTGCTGAAATTTTGGCTTTTTTAAATATGTAGTAGGTGTTTTTAATGATTTTTCACATAATGTGTAAGGTAGTGAAATGCAAGAAGGGAAAACTGTTTTGTGTGAAACACATTTTCTGACTGGGGAACTTTTAATAGGGTGAATTGTTTGTAAGGCTGTATGCCAACAGTTTCCTCTGATAGTTTGACTGATTTAGGATATCTGCTGTATGATGCAATGTAAAGTCTTTTTTGCCTTTTTTCAGGAAAAAAAAAAACTAACTTGATGTTCTAGATTTAGTGTAGGTAGCGTGGGGGCGGGGGTGGGGGGCGGGGGAGGGGAGTCACCGAACGTTTTGTCCTTCGTTTTTACTAATGATAGTGCTTTAGAATGAGAATGATGCCTGAGATCTGGCAAACCGAGAAGAAAAAAATGTTGCTATTGCAACTAAATGGCAAAAGCTAAAAGTAAGGATTTATCTTCAAACATAAAGCTGAGATATGAATAGAAGCAAAACGATTGGCTACTAGCTCTCTCTATGACGTAAATTTGAGAAATAAAAATTACTTGGCACTTTTAAAGGTAACTTCACCAAAGACCGAAGAGCCAGTAACCAGTAGCTCCAACTAGTCTCAGCATCACATCTTCTGTGCTCTTTATTTTTGCCGGACCAGTTTGCGGTTAGGAGAATGTGCCTTTTTTGTACCTTTGCATTTAGGTTTTCTAATTTTAATTGATGTATGGACACACACAAACAAAAAAGCATGAAGGAAGATTTGGATCCAAGCAGTGCCACACTTTACATCATCACTACAAGTGTTCAGTGTAAAGAAAAACCAATTTTGAAACTATGAAATTCCTGATTCATAAATACACAAGTTATTTCTACTTTAGTACCTAGAAGATAATTCACTGTTATTAAAGCTCTTTTATTAAGACAATTGCATATGTTTGAAAAGCAATGGTAAATTAAGTTGTCTTCCAAAACTGTGTACCTGTCTGGTCAACCGTGTGTGATCAGTTATCTACCTCAGAATCTTATTTTCTTTTGTGCTGGGACAGGTTGCTGGCCCTCCCTGTTTCCACAGACCAAATCCTTCCTAGCTCAGGAGCTAGGCCTAAGCAGTTATTTCTTTCGAGTATTTTTTAGTTCTTAAAATTTATGCTTGTATTTGATTATAGATGTCAGTGACATTTCATAGTTTCAAAAGTCCTTGCTGCTCTGAGAAGTGTAGATTCTAGTGAAAATTACATAGTCATAAGAGAAATGTGTTTTTGTTTTTGTTTTGTTTCCTTTTTTTAAAGTTGTGGTATTATTGGTTCTATGCTCCCTGGAATATTACTGCTTTGTGAAAGTCCAGACCGAACGCAGCACCCTCTTTGTACCTAGTACGTTATAAACCTGGGTCTCTCACTACTTGATATTTTTGCATTAGTTAAGACAGAAATTTGATAGCTCAGTTAGAGAGGAGGGAAAATCTGCTGCTAGAAATGTCTGAACTAAGTGCCATACTCGTCTGGGTAAGATTTGGGAAACATAACCTCTGTACATAAAAAAAGAAAAAAAAAAATCAGTTAAACATCACATAGTAGACAGCCATTAAATTATAAAAAAAATTAATTTATGAAGAAAGACCTTTTGTACAGATTGAAAAAAAAAGATTTTCATAGAGATATCTATATGATCAAGAGAGTTAATTTTTTATTTTTGTTTTACTAGTGCCACAAACTTGCCAGTGGTAACTTATTTGTCCGGTTCAAGATAACTCTGTAGTTTTCTTTCCTAGGACTTGTTGTTAAACGCCAAAAGACATTTTTGAACTGTACATTTGATCAGATTGTTAGCTTTTTTCTGTTTTATTTCTTTTGAGAACCTTTGAATAAAAAACATCTGAAATTTTATTTTTCCTGTCAGTTTCTTTTTAGGTTAGATTAAATGTATATCAGAATTTCATTTCATTTCTGATCTCTTCCTTGTTCAGTGAATTGGTTGGAAATTGAGTTGAAAATTATTTTAGATTCAATATGTATTCAAAATACATTTCCTTTAAAAGAATTGGAAAAACCATCCCACCCTCTCATTTTTGGCTATTTCAGTTCATGGACACAAGGACAACCGTTAGCTCATCACGTTTCCTCTCGGCAAATTCCACCTTTGGTCTGTTCTTAAAGGTCAAAGAACCATACCCCTCTCCTCCCTCCTTCCTTCCTGCTTCCTTTTGACTGTGGTATGTCATTGCCCAGCAAGGGGGACAGAATAAAAACTGTCACTGTCGGATAAGCAGGTTCACAGGTAAGGATTTCAAGATGGTCTTACCCCAGCCTTGATGACTTGGGCCTCCTCTAGTGACCTTGTTTGGCTGTTCCCAGTAGGAGGCTCTGGTGCAACATTCATGTAGGAAAGACAGAACTCTCTTTCCCACGCTGACATGCTTTATGAGAGACTCTTAGTATAAGAACTTGACTTTTACCCAAGGTAAATGAAATATTTTAGTGTATTTATAAAGGTTTCTTTTTCTGCTGCCCAGTGACTCTGTCCTGATGAAAGGAATGGGCAAGAAAAATATCCGTAGCCTCCCATTTCTGTCTGCCTCCCATGCAACGTGGACAATGGGATATGTGAATTAAATACGAGAGGTTTAGAGCACTTCACTTGCCAGAGCCAAGAAAGCCCCAGTACTCGCTGGCTCCTTGAGTAAAGGAAGCCAGGTTCTCCGATGATAACCAGTGCATCAGAGGGGAAGATGTTGGGGCAGGAGCCAAGTGTGGCCTCGTTGAGATGACGGCAAGCTGCCAAGAATGTAAGCAACGTGATCTTGTGGTCTGTCGCATCCTTGGGGTCCACATGCTCCTTCATAGGACCACCAACCAGAGACAGGGAAAAAAATACTGCTGGGCTCCTTAGGTTTTGTTAACCTCATTTTTGTTCTTTTAAGATGCCTCATGTCATTGGAGTCCTGGGACACCCAGGGGCTGTCATTGATACAGAAACTGATAAATGCTTTTTCCGAGGACCTTTTCTATCTGAGCAACATGGCTGAGCAAGCCAGATTGCTGATGAATAAAAAAAGAGCTATCGCTCACACATAGAAAGAGGACCTGTGGCACCCCTGAGGATTAACCCCAGGTTCCTCGGGTCATCATCAGGGGCCAGGACTCCCTCTTTTGTCAGATGGCCAGGGTCCAAGCAGCGGGGTGGAATTCTTGCCTTGGAAGGCAGAGAGGAAGCTGGCAGCGGCTCCCTAGTGTGCATCCTTCCCTCTCTGTGGGCTAAGATGAGAGAGCAGTGGCGGGTGGGAGCCCCGTTTTCTCCCCACCCTCCATGCCTTTCAAGGGCACTGGAGCCTGCATTCCACCTCCTCTCAAATTTCATAAATGCTGCTTAAAAAGTCACACGGAAAGGCCATGCCTCCCAGCCTGAGCAGGGGCTGGAAAATGTTCAGATGAGACCGCAAC